GGGTGGAAACCTTGCTTCCAAACTGAAGCTGAAAATCTTGCAAAATCACATGATTCCACAAGCTGGAGCTTCTAAAGGAAAAAAAAAAAAATAAAAATGTTCAGCTCCAGGAGCAGATGTCACCCAACCACGAGGAGCCCCATGGGATATCAAATCACATGCAAATATCCTGAGATTTGCATTCAAAGCCATGAGAAATGACATGGTGAAATGACATTAACACTGTGCTTCAGGGCTGAAGTCACCCTCTGTGGTGGGTCAGGGTGAGGGGCTTGATGGGCTCCCCAAGGCTGGGCTCCTGCACAATTCCCTGGAGAATCACAGCCTGGATAAAAGACTTGGGAAGATGGAGTGAGGGTCTGAGGCCTGTCTGGCAGTTCCTGTCTCATGTTCTTTTTTCCGAGGTCAAAATCCTTCTTCCTCTGTCCTGAGCTGTACCTGAAACTAAGCAGCATGTTCCAGTGAGAGAAGTAATTACCATGAGTTCATAGCATTTATTTTTAATGAGGCTGGTCAGAACCTTCATTTAGTATTTTGATTCATTTTTCTGTGCTCGGCAGCTCCTGACATCTCCGGTTTTGCTCTCCTAGAACCACTGCAAGCAGCTTCTAGACCCAATCCAGACAGTTAGATGCCCCATCACCAAAACCTTGACTTTTAAAATTAATTTTCAGGTTCTGGGGGGTTGTCAGGACCAGCTCTGGGTGCTGCAGGAACGGGCGGATCGAGGATTTGTGTTTGCTTGTTTCCGCCCACTGTTTAAAGAGCATCAACAATTCCTTCCCGGCAGCAAAACAAGGGAAGAGCTGGTACTTTTAAGGTAATTCTGACATCCGTGCTATGAATAGATCCTGATGGAAATTTGCCCTCGCTCGTCGGTTCCCCGTGCAGGAGCTCGGGGAAGGCCGGGGTGGGGAGAGGCACCAGGCCGCTGCCACTGTGGCACTGTGGAATCTGGGAATGCTTTGGGTCAGAAGAGACCTTAAAGATGTCTCGTTCCAACCCTCCTGGCTGGTGGTGGCTCATCCCAAACCACGGCTCTGCTCAGGTGAGGGGATGCAGCCTCTTCCCAGCCGGGCAGGTCCCACACGGCCTTCCCGCTCCATCCCCCCCTTGATGCCGGCTTTTGGGAAATATTCCATGTTTTTCCTCTCCCCAACCACTCCCAAGCCATTTGGTCGGTAGCTCCTGGTGCACCTGCTAAGAGAGGTGTCACCAGTGCCACTGCAGGGCTGGGAAAGTGGGACATGGAGCAGGACAGGCTGGCAGGGCCCCACCCCAGCAGCTCCCAGCGCTCCGCTTCCCTCTCCCCATGGCAGGAACATTTCCCAGCCCGGGCCAAGAAAACCCACTTGCCTACTCAGCCAGTGCTAACAATGCAAACACTAATTATATTTCCCTCACCTATCAAAGGATGATTCATTTTAGGTGAGTGGGCACGGAGATTACACAAGATGAGCACCACCATGCGACCGCCCGGCCCTTTCGGGGTAGCCCTCCCGAGAAACAAGGATTTCGGGAGCAGGGGACATTCAGGATGGGGAGAGGACTGGCTACAGCGTGAACCTGGTTCACAGCAGACACCTCCAGCCTGTCCCATTCCCTCAGGGGTGCTGGGCTGGTCTCATCCCAGAGCCCTTGTCTGGTTTAGGATCCCGGTTGTTCAGCTGGGAAGAGGTGGAAGGAGGAGGGAAAAAGCATTGCTAGGGATGGAAAGGGCAAAAACAGACTGGGGGCTTCCTTCAGCCACCCCATCTCATCCACCCCCACAGCCATGGTTTCAGCAGCTCAACCCAAACCCAACGCAGAGGATTCCCATGGGAAGTCTGGAGCTACAACTCCAGCTGTCCCCCGGGTGAAATCACTGAGCATCCCCAAAGTACCCGAGACAGGAAGCGGCTGTGATGTCTCCTGATCTCCAGACTTGACCAGAAGAGGGTCTCCAGCCCTCTGCCCCAGGACCCCCCAGCTCCACTGCCATGCAGGTGGATGCAGCCCCTTTCACCCGAAGCAAGGGAGCAATTCCTGCTCCCACTCTGGAGCTGGGCTGAATCAGACAAGTGCTTCAACTCCAGCACCCGACTGAAGCAATCCTCGGGAGCCTGGTTTATGTAATATCAGGGTGCTCTGGAAGGGGGGCAGGGGTTTTTTTGGCAGGAAGATGAGGATCTATCAGCAGTGCTGGGGATGTCTGAGGGAGTGAGGCCACGGGGATGAGGGGACAGCACAAAGGCCGCGTGTCAGCCGTGGCAGGGCCGCTCGCAACGCGTGGGCTCCTGGGAGAACAGCACGGCTCCCTCGGCTGATCTGGGCTCTGCGTTGATGGACACGAATCCCCCGGGCTGGGGGAGCAGGATTTGCTCTCCTTGGGGGTCAGGGAGCGTGTGGGAAGGGCGTGGGGGGCTGGTCGGCGTGGGGGGACAGGCGTGGGGTGCACGGCGTGTGCGGCGTGGGAGGTGTGAGCTCGGCAAGCTGCGCGTGGGGGCAGCGCTGCCTGCGCCGGCTGCGGGGCTGGCAGGAGCCCCCGGGCCACCATGTGCCACCCCTGCCACCCAACAGTCCAGAGGTGACACCAACATCCCTCCCAACACAGCCCTGGGCAGGGGGAGCCATGCCCTTCCCCGCTCTTGTGCAGGGGAATGGGAAAACCAGAGCGAATCCGTGGAGACTGGGGCTCCCCGAGCCTCGCTGCGCATTTAGGGCCCCATCCCCAAACCAGGGCTGGGGAGCTAAAAAAAATGATGTGCAAGGGATGAATATTTATCTGTGGGTGGCAAGTGACAGATGCTGGGGCGAGGATTCTTGGATACTTCAGTTTGCTGGAGGTAATAACTGGAATAGATTAATGAGAAACATCCTTCCCAACAGTTGCCTCCCCGGTGCCACACAGCGGCCTCTGGGACCCAGACACACAAAGTTCAGCAAGGCTTGGTGTCCAAAAGGCTGGAGATGCCCAGCTTTGGTGGTTTCCACCCAGAATGGAGCCAGGCAACTGGGAAAGGGATGTGGCCTCTGGGTGCTGGGAGCTGAGTTGGTGGAAGTGGCCTTGGAGGTGGTTCTGGCCCAGCTGAGGTGGGGGAAGCCGGTGTGGAGGAGCATCCACAGTTACCAGCACTCTGCATTTCCCCAGCACGGCATTCCTTCCTCCCTGGAAGGTTTGCAGAGTCCCAGGGGGGACCATTTTACCACAGACCCTGCCCTTTCCCAGCACTGCTCCTCTTCCCTCCTCCCGAAATCAAACACACCACATTGCTTTTGGGTCCCTGAACACCGGGAAGCCGGGCTGGCCTGACAAGATGGAAGGAAAAGCTCTTCGCTTCTGGTAGCTTCTCAGAAAACGCTGAAACTGCTGCTAAGGCATCCCAGTGTGGGGCTGCTACCCAGGTTTCCCTAAAAAACGCCGCGCTGCAGAGGATGGGGAGCGCGCCGGGGCGGGGGCACGTGCGTGGCTGGGGACAGGGCCAGCCCTGCAACACCCAGCCCTCAGAGACCTGTAGTTAGTCCAGACTTGTGTCTGTCCTCCCTCAAACCTCCCAGGCAGGGGCTGGGTGGCAGGAGGAGACAGCACCCACGTTGGGAGCAAGCAGAAACCTCCCCCCCCAGCCCCTCCTGACCGCCTTGGACGTGGGAGACAGCGACGATTCCCTGCCCAAGCTTTATTCTCGACTGAAGGACTGCTGGGATATATCCATGGCTTCCAAACACACACCCGGCACACCCCAGCTCAGTCCCCAGCATCCTTCCAGGAAGCTGAAACAAAAGGTTGCAGCTCTCTTTTTCTCTGGGAGAAAACCACTGGCACGAAATTATCATTAAAAATCCCGAGGTGGTTCCACCTCTCCCTGCGAGAGCGCAGAAAAAGCAGCTGCAGGTGAGGTTTAACCTCCCCTCCCTGTGCAACCACAAAGCAGCAAACTGGCTTTTCCACAGCAAGGTCTTGCAGCACCTTTCGGGAAGGCTGCGATGGAGCTCCCCAACGCTGCAATTTCCTCACCGGAGCCGTATGGAAAACCGTAACGTCCTAAAAATAACCCGTGAGCCTGCTTTAGGAGGCCACGATTCCCAGGAAAACAAGGGGCCAGCGGAGCTCAGTGCCCCCGGCTGCCGGCAGGTAGGCCTGCCTCGGATTATGGTGGCAATTCCGATTGTGGAAGTAGCCACAACCCAGGAGAGAGGATGATACAGCCACTTACAGCACGGCACCAGCTGTTTCTCCCGGTTCAGCCCTAAAGCTTGTTAGCCCAGCAATTTTTTTGGGTTTGATCGCTCCAATTGGGTTTTCTTGTTTTTCCTCTAATCCCAGTTTCCCCTCAGCATCTCGTTAAGCCGTGTTGACGGCAGAGAAGAGCTCTGGTGATCCCTCTGAGCCCCTACGCTAAGCATTAAGCCGTAAACTAGGAATGTAAGACTCTTGTCTGAATTAAAGTCTTTTCCCCGGCATTATTGAGCGTGGGGCTGCCTTTGGAGGGGCTGGAGGAGGTGCAGAGCCCCCCGCCCCTGGCTGCGAGCTCTGGCAGCAGCAGAGCTGCCCCATCCTCCCCGGATCCCCCCACACACACACTCGCCTCCCTCCTGCCCCGCGTCGTTCCCATGCAAATCCTACAGGTTCCAGTGGCGCAGTCACAACTGCCAATCCCATGTGCAACTTGGGTTGTGTCCCCAAGGCCTGGCCCACCCCGTGCTCCGACCTCTCTGGGCCGGAGCTGGGCGTCCCCCCACCAGCACAGCCCCTCGCACATCCCAAAAACCGGCTTGAGGAGAGGAAGGAGGGAGGACCCAGCGCGCAGAGACCCCACGGAACGTATGGGGCTACCTGTGGCAAAGAGCTGGGCTGGTGCCACGCTGGGCTGGCTCCTTCCCTCCTGCAGGGTGGGAGCATCCCTTGATCCAAGCCAGCAGGTTGCAAACTCCCAGACTCCAACCCAAACCCTGCTGGGAGCTTCTCCCCACCACCCTCCACCCCACTGCCCCAGCCAGGAAGGGACGAATGCATCACCTACCTCCATCCGAGTAGGTCTCTGTCCCGTAGCCATCCTGTAATCCATTGCTCCAGGTGCCTTCGTACTTGGCCCCGTTTCCAGTGCATTCCCGGACCCCGTACCGTCCCTTAAATCCATGGGTCCACTCTCCTTTGTACACCCACTTCCCTTTGCTCTCCATGCCAATGCCATGGCGCTTGCCCTGCGCCCAGGTGCCCTGGTAAGTGTTGCCACTGGGCCAAGTGTAGACCCCCAGCACCTCAAAGCCGTGACTCCAGGAGCCCGAATATTCACCTTGACCCTTCGGGCCGGTACAGATTCCATGGCCATGAGCCTTTCCGTCCTCCCAGCCTCCACAGCAGGGGAAGAGAGAACTGATCCTCAACATACTCCCAGAGAATGAATAATCACAAGAAACTGGCTTAAGCAGCTTCCTGGATCTGGTGCATAATTTCAATTGAGTTCAATTTGATTTAATTATTTTTATTTTTATTTATTTCTTTTTCCCCAAGTCATCATTCGTATTTTATTTCCTGCATTTCTCCCTATTCTTTTTTTCTTTTTTTTTTTTTTTTTTACTTTTCTTTTCTTTTGGT